AGGATCCCCGCCTCTAAGAATCTAAGAATCTAAGAATCTAAGAATCTAAGAATCTAAGAATCTAAGAATCTAAGAATCTAAGAATCTAAGAATCTAAGAATCTAAGAATCTAAGAATCTAAGAATCTAAGAATCTAAGAATCTAAGAATCTAAGAATCTAAGAATCTAAGAATCTAAGAATCTAAGAATCTAAGAATCTAAGAATCTAAGAATCTAAGAATCTAAGAATCTAAGAATCTAAGAATCTAAGAATCTAAGAATCTAAGAATCTAAGAATCTAAGAATCTAAGAATCTAAGAATCTAAGAATCTAAGAATCTAAGAATCTAAGAATCTAAGAATCTAAGAATCTAAGAATCTAAGAATCTAAGAATCTAAGAATCTAAGAATCTAAGAATCTAAGAATCTAAGAATCTAAGAATCTAAGAATCTAAGAATCTAAGAATCTAAGAATCTAAGAATCTAAGAATCTAAGAATCTAAGAATCTAAGAATCTAAGAATCTAAGAATCTAAGAATCTAAGAATCTCAAAATCAGAAATTCAGAAATTCAGAAACCCACTTTTCTTTTTTCCATAATTGAAAATTGTTGCTTTTTTAAAATGAAGATTACTGTAGCAACAGTAATTTACTTTAGGAAATAGCAAAATATGATTCATGATGGTGCCAAAAAAAAATTTGGCACCAGACAAAAAATTTGAAATTCCAAAAAAAAGCATCTATTCCCAGAAAAAAAATTAATTTCAATTTCTTCACACTTCACTGATTTTACCAGATAGAAATTGAAAAAAAAACCAAAAGAGGGAAACTCATATTTTGAAAAAAAAATTGAAAATTGATGTTTTTTGTGAAAGATTGTTTTAAAAAAGATGAAAAAAACACAAATAAGATCAAAATCTTGAAAAAATACAGGTAGATCGAAAATTGCCCATTTTCGAAAATTCTAAAATTCGGAAATTTGGTATTTTAAATATTCAGATTTTTAGAATTTCTGAGGAATCGGGAATCCGGACCTGCAGTAATACAGTAATACAGTAATCTTATCTCCCTGAGGTCCCCCCACCTTTAAAGTCTATGAAACTACTTAAAATGATCTTTACTTTTAACCTAATTAGGTTCATTGTTTGAGATATCAAAATAATTACATACTTAATAATTACAATATTAATAATTAATAATTAATAATAATTAATAATATTAATAATAATTAATAATAACATACATACGCACATACAGAATTTGGTGAATGTTATTAGTAATGATAATGATAGATTACGAGAAATTTTATTTCCGCAAATTTGAATTTCCATGAAATTTGATTAAACTTTAAATTAAAATTTCTAGTTTGATTTCTCAAAAATTATTCATAACACCTGTATAGAAAGAAAAATAATGATGACAACTACAAATCTTTTTTTTTTTCGAGTCAGAAGAAATCTTAGAAAATGAGATGGGAGAGGATTACGGTGATTCATCATTAGTGACAAAATATGAGATTAGAAAAGAAAAAAAAATGCGAAAAAATTTTTTTTTTCGAAAATCTGTAATTTTCAAAATTTTCAAAATTTCAGTTATCAGCGGTTGAAATGAGTATCAATATCATAAGGCTTTCTAAAAATTCCAGATGTTAAGAAAGTTTGAAATTTTGGGAAAATTTCAAAAGACCATAACTTTTTTAGTTTTCATCCAAATTTTATGAAATGTACATTTCATCCCAAACATCCGGAACATTTTATTTTGCACGAATTAAAATGAAAAAAGAAACCTAAAAAATTCCAAAGAGGGGGAAAAAAGGGAAACGTATTTATCTGGATGAGAATCTTCAGATTAGAATCTGAAGAAGAGGTCAAACGAATCAAAAATAACCGGATCGGAAAAAAAAAACATTCCAAAAAAAAGATTTTCAGACATGGTATCCAAAAATACATTTCCTGATTTTTTAAAATACAAAAATAGAGAACATCTGAAATTTTCAGTCTCTGACTTTCAGACGATTTTTTAAAGCATCAAACAAACATTTTTTTTTCAAGATTTCGAAAGATTTCATAAAATTCTAGAAAATCAAATTTGGAGATTTTGAAAAATTCGAAAACTCAAAGTTTTGGGAATTTTATTTGAAAAATTATTTTATTTCATTAGAAGAATAGCTAGATTTTGCAATAAAGATTCTCATTTCAGATTTTCTCTGAAATTTTTTAATTCAGAAATTCAGAAATTCAGAAATTCAGAAATTCAGAAATTCAGAAATTCAAGAATTCAGAAATTCAGAAATTCAGAAATTCAGAAATTCAGAAATTCAGAAATTCAGAAATTCAGAAATTCAGAAATTCAGAAATCCAGAAATTCGGAAATTCAGAAATTCAGAAATTCAGAAATTCAGAAATTCAGAAATTCAGAAATTCGGAAATTCAGAAATTCAGAAATTCAGAAATTCAGAAATTCAGAAATTCAGAAATTCAGAAATTCAGAAATTCAGAAATTCAGAAATTCAGAAATTCAGAAATTCAGAAATTCAGAAATTCAGAAATTCAGAAATTCAGAAATTCAGAAATTCAGAAATTCAGAAATTCAGAAATTCAGAAATTCAGAAATTCAGAAATTCAGAAATTCAGAAATTCAGAAATTCAGAAATTCAGAAATTCAGAAATTCAGAAATTCAGAAATTCAGAAATTCAGAAATTCAGAAATCCAGAAATTCAGAACTTCAGAACTTCAGAAATTCAGAAATTCGGAAATTCAGAAATTCAGAAATTCAGAAATTCAGAAATTCAGAAATTCAGAAATTCAAGAATTCAGAAATTCAGAAATTCAGAAATTCAGAAATTCAGAAATTCAGAAATTCAGAAATTCAGAAATTCAGAAATTCAGAAATTCAGAAATTCAAGAATTCAGAAATTCAGAAATTCAGAAATTCAGAAATTCAGAAATTCAGAAATTCAGAAATTCAGAAATTCAGAAATTCAGAAATTCAGAAAT